TCCTCCAACCCTTCTCCCCCTCCTCCCACTCCTCTCCCCCTCCCTCTCCAGTCCCAAGAGCAGTCAGGGTTCCCTGCCCTGTGGAAAGTCCAAGGTCCTCCCCCCTCCATCCAGGTCTAGGAAGGTGAGCATCCAAACTGGCTAGGCTCGCACAAAGACAGAACATTAAGTAGGATCAAAACGCCCTGCCATCGTCCTTGGCTTCTCATCAGCCCTCATTGTTCGCCATGTTCAGGGATTCCGGTTTTATCCCATGCTTTTTCAGTCACAGTCCAGCTGGCCTTGGTGAGCTCCCAATAGATCAGCCCCACTGTCTCAGTGGGTGGGTGCACCCCTCGTGGTCCTGACTTCTTGCTCATCTTCTCCCTCCTTCTGCTCCTCATTGGGACCTTGGGAGCTCAGTTCAGTGCTCCAGTGTGGGTCTCTGTCTCTATCTCCATCCATCACCAGATGAAGGTTCTATGGTGATATGCAAGATATTCATCAGTATTGCTACAGGATAGGGTCATTTCAGGTTCCCTATCCTCAACTGCCCAGGGAACTAACTGGGGACATCGCCTTGGGCTTCTAAGAGCCACTCTAGGTTCACGTCTCTTGCCAACCCTAAGGTGGCTCCCTTAACTAAAAATTGTGCTTCCGTGCTCCCCTATCCAACCTTCCTTTATCCCAATCATCCTTTTTCCCAAGTTCCCCCTGTCCTCCCCTTCTCCCTTTTCTCTCCCCATCTCCCCTTACCCCCATCCCACCCCACCCCCAAGATCCCAATTTTCTCCCCGGCAATTTTGTCTACTTCCCATAGCCAAGAGGATAACTATGTTTTTCCTTTGCAGCTCTTAATATTCTTTCCTTATTCTGTATGCTTTGTGTTTTGATAATTATATGGCGAGGGGATATTTTGTTTTTTTTTTTTTTTGATCCAGCCTATTCGGTGTTCTGTATGCTTCTTGAACCTTCATAGGTATATCTTTCTTTAGGTTGGGAAAGTTTTCTTCTATAGTTTTATTAAATATATTTTCTGGACCATTGAGCTGCACTTCTTCTACTCATTATTCTTAGGTTGGGTCTTTTTATTGTGTCCCATATTTCCTGAATATTTTGTGATGAGAGTTTGTTGGACTTGCTGTTTTCTTTGATCAGTGTGTTTATTTTCTCTATGGTGTCTTCAGAATCTGAGATTCTTTCTTCTATCTCTTGTATTCTGTTGGTTTTGCTTGTTTCTGTAGTCTCTGTTTACTTAAATTTTCCATGTCCAGCCGGCCCTCTGTTTGTGTTTTCTTCTTTGCCTCCATTTTAGTTTTCAAGTCTTGAACTGTTTCCATTATCTGTTTGATTGTTTTTCCTTGGTTTTCTAGGGTATCATTCACTGACTTATTCTTCAAATTTTCTGTTATATTTCTCATCCATTTCTATAAGGGCGTTTTTTACATGCTGTTTAAGGGAATTAATCACTTTCATGAAGTCAATCTTTTCTATTTCTTCTTGATTAAGGTGTTCATGTCCCCGTTATGAGGTCGCTGGTTTCTGGTGGCTTCATGTTGCTTTTCAGATTGTTAGGTGAATTCTTGCATTGGCGCCTGCCCATCTCTTCCTCTGGATGCTCCCCTATGGATCTTCTTTTACAGGATCGGGTCTCCTTGCCTATTGATGTACCTTCCCAGTGATGGCTCTCGCCAGTGATGGCTCTCCTGGAGCCGAGATCAGATCACCGTGCCCAATGATGGCTCTCCCCAATGCTGGCTCTCCTGGCACAGAGATCAGGTCTCCGTGCCCAATGTTGGGTCTCCTGGCGCCGAGATCAGGTCTCCGTGCTTGTTGGGTATCTCGTAAACAAAGCGCCTACCTTGCTTGGTGCAGGCAGGTTAGTGAAACAAAGGAACTCCCGCCCGCTAGGTTGCCCTGAGGATTCGGAGGGACCCAGCGCCCAGACAGGCTGAGCTGGGTGATGTTATGTGCCCAAAGTCGGCAGGGGGGGCCGAGGTGGGGAGGGTTCTGGATGCAAGCTGGGTGGGATAGGAAGAGGCAGTATGCAGGGAGTAGAGGCCCTGCAGAGAACCCAAGAAGGATAGGGGGTTGAGGAACTTCTGAGTTCCCTGTCCTGGGCTGGTGCTGCGGGGTCAGAAACTCACCCCAATGTTGGGTCTCCTGGCGCCGAGATCCCATTTTATATTTTTTGCTTCTTTGTCAAAACTCAGGTGTTCATAGGTGTATAAATTGATATCCGTGTCTTCAATTTGGTCCTATTGGACCTCCTGTCTGTTTTTATGCCAATACCATGCTGTTTTCGTTCTACTACAGTAGCTCTGTAGTAGTTTGAAGTCAGAGCTTGGGATGCATCTAGAAATACCTTTATTATACAAGATTGTTTTGGCTATCCTGAGTGTTTTGCTTTTCCATATGAAGTTGAGTACTGTTTTTTCGAGGTCTGTGAAGAATTTTGCTGGGATTTTGATGGGCATTGCATTGACTATGTATTAAATGTAATGGCATTTCAATTTTATTTTAATAAAGACTGCCTCAAGATCTGAGAATAAAACAGTCCTACTAGTCAGCCTTATAGGCCAAATATGGTAACACACATCTTTAATCCCAGTTGCCACAATGACATGCGCCTTTAATCTCAGTAGTCACACTAGTTACCATAGAAATCAGGTGGTACATGCCTTTAATCCCAGCCCTAGAGAAGAATAAAAAACGGGGCAAGACAGCTCTTAGATGCAGTTTCATTCTGAGATTCTAGGAGGCAGGATCACCATTTAATACTGAGCTCAAGGTAAGAGTCAGTGGCTGACTGTTTTGCTTTTCAAATCTTCAGAATGAACTCTAATTTCTGACCTTGAGCCTTCATTTAACCATGTTTCAGATTAGTTTTGCTAAATCTGCCGTTTTTATTATGTCAATTCTACCTACCCAAGAGCATGGGAGATCTTTCCACTTTTTGGTGTCTTCTTCAATTTCTTTCTTCAAAGACTTAAAGGTGTTGTCATCAAGTCTTTCATTTGTTCGATTGGAGTTATGGAGTGAGAAATCTTAATATAGGAGCATAACAAATAAAATATAATAGTCAACATTATTTCTTATTTCCTGGGGCTTAATTTCTAACCAGATAGATTGTGGCACACTAAAACAAATTTGTTTGTAATTATCATTTATAGGGAAAATATTTCTAACCCAAAAATATTGGTATTCCTAACCTGAAATAATAAGGATTTAGATTATAGATTAAGAATCATCCAGTATTCTGCAATCTAATCAATGGGATTAAATCATGCCTTTAGCATTCAAACCTCTTTTTCTTCTTTTCCAAATAATATGCTAGCCTATCTTTGTCAATAAAAATGTATTTGTATAATAAACAAAAAGAACCATCCAGTAAATTCTATGCAAATATTCATTAGAAAAAAATAATTTTTCTCTATCCCAGCACTACAAAACCAACAATTTTCAAATCTGAAACACACCTGGTCTCAATGTTTCAAATACAGAATACCCAATCTGTATCATATCTGAGTCAATGAAATAACAAATTCTATATATACACACTTTTTGCTAGTTTTTGGGTTTTGGAAACAGTTTATAGCTTTACCTGACCTGGAAGTTGCTCTCTAGACCAGGTGACCTCAAACTCACAGAGATCTGACTGCCTATTCATCCCAAATGCTGGGGTAGTTTACTTATTTTAAAGAGGAGAAAATAAAATAAACAAGGAAAGTGTGACTTACAATAAGTAGAAAGCAGACAAAGCACACATACGCTCTGAGAAAATATGATACTAAGTAAGTTTAGAATTCTCTAGTTTAGCATCTATATAATCCCGAGTCTTTAGAATATTTTATCTGAGAAAACTTTTATATGTTTATAAAAATATATCACACCATCAATAGTTATTTCTTAGAAAAAATTATAGAATATTCAGTTTTAATGAGAATCAAGAGCAAATGAAAATAAGTTATCTAGCACATAACACTTATTAAAGTAATTTTCAGGGCTGAAGATGTAGCTCTGTTGATAGAATGCTTGCTTAGCATGAATGAGACCCTGAGCTCAGAACAAAGCACAACACACCTGCAGTCCAGGTAATTAGGAAGCCAGAAAGTTAGCAAACGTGAGAACATTGAAAGCTACAGGAGACCCACCTCAAGGAAGAAAACAAACAAAAACCTCAAGCTAGTTTTAAATATTAGTTGTTTGTTTATTCTGTTATTTTGAGACAAGTCTCTCTATATAGCCCTGACTGTCCTGAAACTCACTTTGTAGACCAGGCTGCCCTGAAACTCACAGCAATCCTTCTGCCTCTAGCTCTCAGGAGCTAGGATTAAAGACATGGACAACCATGTCCACTTAAACATTAGCTTTTTATTATTTCAACTTATAACACATCTAGAAATAAAAGCCTATCCATAAACTTGATATGCAAATATATCATTTACTATATTAGATTGCTTACTTAATATGCATAATGTCCTGAATTTAATCCCCAGCACAAGAAAAAAAATTAAATAACTAAATAATTGTTAAATAATAAATAATTAAATAAATACGATTTAATAACAGAAGGAACTCAAAAAACTTAATAGTAAAACAAGTTTAAAAATAAAAATGTTACATTAGCAAAACCACGAATTTTATTGTTTTATTTTGTTGGGGTTTTTTTTCTTCAGATATTTGTGTTGTTATTTCAAAATCACACATCCATAAGAATTTCCCAAAGAATATTGAAGGAGATAAGGAACATTAAATGCTTCAAAAGTCTAGAATGTTTTTACTTATATTCTAACACACAGTTTAAAATTTCAACATATTGAGTGAACTGAAAAGGCATGTACAAAAGCAGTATAAGTGATTTCACAAAACAAAGAAGGTAGTGAAGGCTTATAATCGCAGTCAGTCCTCAACAAGCCCAATGCCAGTTGTGATACACGAGTCCCTATTTCTAAATATAAAAGGAAGATGGACTGTGGCTTTGATTTGCAAATAATATTCTTTATTTAAATAGTCCTGTGTTTGCTTTATCCATGGATGACAAAAATCCATACTCTGTGAAAACAGACCATCATTTTACTGATGGAAGGCTTCCAATCTTATTTGTGTTGGATCTTCTGGATGTCTCAAAGCAATTCCATTACGCAGAAGCAGCTCAATATATGGTGGCCAAAATGAATCACTAATTTTAACATATGGATCATGTGGAGCATCAAACATTCTATTTATAAGCATCTAAAGAAAAAATTATTAAAAATGAACTTTTTGTGGGAAAAAGTCTACATACTTACATAAAACAATCCAAAGCTCATTGACTACTCCTCTCCTTGAAGGCTGCTCATAAACATTACAATTAAGCAATATCCAGTTTTAAAGACTACATTATTGGATGGAATATAGATTCAAATGAAAACATTTCCTAAAACCTGCCTAAAAATATTTACAACTTTCCTATTGTTCTTAGTAGAATTCATTTAGGACATGGCAAGGATCACAAGAATTAAAAGTTAGATAGATAACGTATAGAAAATTTAGCTGGCTACATAGGCCCTGGATTTTATCTCCATCACTGAAGGGACAAAAATTAAAATTAGACAAACTACACAAATTTCAAAAGAAAGCTATCAATACTCTCTGAATATCTGAAGGGGAAAGAAATAACCAGTTCAACCCTATTCTTTTGATAAATCTTTAAAACAGTTAAGTTGGCCATCATCAGTTCCTTCACTCTCTCCAGGAATGTTTGATCACTTTATCAAGGATATCAAAGGCTTACAACCAAATCTGACAAACATTTTTACAGGGCAGCTCTTCCCAAACCATATTGACATGAAGTGGTGTCCCTTATTAGATTCTAAGGTGTTGAAAAACAGGATTCTCACCCTAGGTGAATATTAAGAGATGATTCAATAAAGAAAATTTTATATATATATATATATATATATATATATATATATATATATACACACACACACCACGTAATTTTATTCATCTACAATAAATAAAATTGTTATTTTTCGGGAGGTGGAACTAGAGAATATCATGTTAAGTGAAATAAGTGAAACTTAAGACACGCAAAAATCCTGTTTCCCTTACACTGAATCAGGACTTAAACTGGAGTATATGTGTGCATATATGTGTAAATATGAATGGTGTGAAAGCAGAGCAGGGAGAAATCACAAATGCCCTTTATTATTCTGCCTCTTCATATACCTCCCAGTGTTTTAACAATTTATGAAACTAGAATTTAGAACTAAGAGGAATTTTGGATTCCTTAGTCACACATAATTCATGACAAATCATTAACTGCCAGGTAAATTTTAATTAAAGGCATTATTTTAAAGAACATGAAAAAGCATAATGCATACAAATATAAGGTTTTACAAAAGTGATTAAAATTGGCCTTCCAAGCTCTAATCTCAATTATGCTCATAATATTAATATTTAAATTTATCAAATAAAAATATCGACTACCACTAGTTTTCTTATTTTAAGACCTTCAGCCTGGGAAATGAAAAGGTCAGAATCCCCTTTCTTTTAAGTATCATGATAAAGAAATACTTTCATATTTTAGAGTAGCTGTTTATTTTACTTCAATTGAAAAGTTTATGAGCTAGATATATAACTGAGTGGCAAAGCACTTGTCTATGGCAAGACTTGCATTCCATCCCAATACCACAGAAACCAAACAAAGTGATCTTATTTCACATTTCTAGATTGATTAGATTACATTAATTAAAATTCTAATAAAAGACAGCAGAAGTATGCTGAAAAAAACATTTAAAATGAGTATGTTAATTTTTCACTAAATTATAGCTTACATATTACTTATTTTTGTTACTCATAATATGAACTTCAGAGAGATATTTGGTTTTCTAAGTTTTATCCCATGGCATACCATTAAAATTTATAACCATGTGTTTCAGATAAAGTTTTCAATATTTTTCATAAAGTATAATTTAAACTTTTCATTGCATTTGCTTCTTTGTGTGCACATGCATATCTCCTCTATGTGCGCACGTTTGTATATTCATCTTTGTGTATGTGTGTGCACTGACAAGTGGGAGGACACCTTGCAGGAATTGGCTCTCTCCATACACTACATAGGTCCGAGGGATTAATTCACCCCACTGGGCTTTGCAGCAAGCACATTTAACCACTAAATGATCTCATTGGCCTAACGTGACATTTTTTATTTTAAAAAAGATAATACAACCAAGAAAAGCTACAGTTTCAGCTTTAACTAGTAAAATCAGGAATATCTAAACAGATTCTGATTATAAATCAAAGAAATATTTCTATCTCGTGTTTCATAGCAAAAATATTTAATAGGAAATATTCTTAGGCAGCAAACCTGAGATTCTGTACCCAACACATTGAGTCAGAATGAAACATGCTTTCTGAAAACACTCTTCTCAATTTACTAGTCCTACAGCTGAGAGGAGAAGGGAACATATGCCCCCATCACTAATCCAGAAGCTATCTCCAACTGATAACCACTTGCAAACAAAAAATTAGTTTTCTCCAAGAGAATCGTACTGGGAAACAAACCACTCTTAATCATACACGGAAGTAGATATCCAAAAAAAACAAAACAAAACAAAAAAACAAAAACGAAAAGCAAAAAACAAATTCAATGGCATCGTTGCAGGTTGTCTCCTAATATTGTGGGAGGGCTTTTGAAAAACCTTATAAGTCTTTAGCATATATGAGTGTGTATATGCATATATATATATATACATATACGTGTGTGTGTGTGTGTGTGTGTGTGTGTGTGTGTGTGTGTGTGTAGGCTTCTGGGTTTTTGTTTATTTTACAGAATTACTTAGTGTATGAACGTCCATGTCTCTGTATCTGTATGTGTTTCTTGTGCTTTTTCTCTAGCTTTTTTTCTTCTGTTTATATTGTCCTATCCAATGTTTGGTTTTGTTTTATCTTATTTTATTTTATTATTACTCCTTAGATGCCTGTTTGTTTTCTCACAAAATGGGTTTAGATTCAGACGGGAGGGAAGGTGGGGAGGAGCTGGGAGGACTGGTGGAAGTGGAAATCTAATCAGAATACAGAGTATAAAAAATGTTCTAAATAAAGCAAAAAACATTTAAAAATTATAAAGTACACTACTACTTGCTTTTCATAAACTTCTCTGCCTAGAGTTTTCTAAAATAATTCATATATTTAATAACCTATCCAAAATTCAAATACATTTTATAATGCCAAAGATATCTTAAACCAAAATAAAGGTCAAACTAAAAAGGTTAGAATTAGTCTTTCTACTGTAATAAATGAAGCTTTTATATCAGGAAAAATTTTATATTCATTTATATGTTTTAGGTACAAGACTCAGTTGTAAACTAAATTTTATCAGCATAACAGCACAAGATGTTAAGGTGCAAATAGTAAATGACTAAATAAGAGACCTTATTAGAGAATCAAATATTCTTAATAGAAAATCAAAGTAGCATTTTTTTGTCTTAAGTATAATTGTTCACAAAAAAGATAGCTCAAATTAAAAAATTTAAAACTACACTTACCTCTATTATTTCATGCAGTGTTATCAGTTGTGCATTTGATGTTTGCATGCATTTCTTTGAGAAATGTAAATTATAATTAACATTGGCAGAAATCAAACTATATATTACAAGACTTAAAAACAATTTCTTACTTGTAATTATAGACGGTAACTAAAGTCAAATTCTGAAAGTAAACAATTTTATAATACAAGTTAGAATCTTTAAAATGTGAGGGAAAATCTTCTATGATAGTAAAAAAATCCTTAAATTATTATAAAATACAATTCAAACAACCTATAAACAGACAATATATTATATTATACATATTGTATATGAAAATACAAAGTAGTATGTTTGAACCAGACAAAAATTCTCCAAGCAGATTGTATTCTATTGCATTTCAGGGAGGCTTCTAAGGGAACCTTCCTTGTAACCTCCCCATAGACTGACATTTCCTAATATTAATATTAAATCAATTCACCAAATTTTTTCTCTTCAAATAACATGAAATAACTCATCAAAAAATTGGAAGACAGTCACTATAATACTCAAGTGTTTCTCCTATTAATCCTCATTAGTCCCTTCAACTCTGTTTCATGACATAGATTTGAGAGCCCTCATTACTATAATTAAGGTTAAAAATTCCAGTGTTGCCTGGTGGTAGCACACGCCTTTAACCCTAGCACTCAGGAGGCAGAGGCAGGAAGATCTGTGACTTCAGGGTCAGCCTGATGTACAGGACAAGTTCTAGAATGGGCTCCAAAGCAACAGAGAAATCCTGTCTTGGAAAAATAGACAGACAGACAGACAGATTCCAGTCTCCCAAATGATACAGGTGTGATTTAACCATCAAGAATTAAAAAAAAAAAAAAACTTGCTTTAATAACTGAAGATGCTAGAATGCTACTCATTAAATTTCCGGACATCTATTTAATACTGTTAACTTCTGAGCATTATATAACCTAAAATGCAAAGTACTGGGCCAGGCATGGTGGTGGCACATGCCTCTAATCCCAATATAGGAGGAAGAGGCAGTCAGAACTTTATGAGTTTGAGGTGAGCCTGGGCTAAATTGTGAGTTTAGGTTAGGCTACATAGTAAAACTCTGTCAAGAGAGAAAGAGATAGAGAGAAAAAAAATGTGTGTGTGTGTGTGTGTGTGTGTGTGTGTGTGTGAGAGAGAGAGAGAGAGAGAGAGAGAGAGAGAGCGCAAAACACAATTATTCTTGAAGAAAGATAACTGAATAAAGCTGGATCTCAAAATCTAATACCTAACTAAGTAAAAACGAGTAGTTAAAATACCGTTATTGGTGGAGAAAGCATAGTTACAGAACTAACTAGCTAAAAGTAAAACAGATTAAATTTAAATAGTTTTGCTGAAGTCATCGAAATTATTCTTAACAAATCATTTGGTTAAAAAATTATTGGGTTAAGAAGCTGGAAAGATAGCTTAGTGGTTAAGAGCACTGTCTGTTCTTCCAAAAAACTTAGGTTCAATTCCTAGCACTGACATGGTGGCTCACAACCGTTTATAACTCACACATGTGGAATACAAATATATATGAGTCAAAACACCTAGATGCATAAAACTAATAAATAAAAAAGAAAACCAAAAAGATTTAAAAATATTATTGGCTGAAATTTAAGAGCTGGTAGAAAAAAAATAAGTAATGAATCAAATATAAAAGAATAAAAGGTAGGGCTGGAGAGATGGCTCAGTGGTTAAGAGCATTGCCTGCTCTTCCAAAGGTCCTGAGTTCAATTCCCAGCAACCACATGGTGGCTCACAACCATCTGTAAAGAGGTCTGGTGCCCTCTTCTGGCCTGCAGACAAGCACACAGACAGAATATTGTATACATAATAAATAAATAAATATTAAAAAAAAGAATAAAAGGTAAATACACATACTAATCTAAAGTTTTGGTTTTGGGGGGTATTTGTTTCATTTTTGTTTTAGTTTTCCAAGACAGGATTCCTCTGTAACTTTAGAACCTGTCCTGGACCTCACTTTGTAGACCAGGCTGATCTTGAACACACAAAGATCCTCTTGCCTCTGCCTCCTGAGTACTGGAATTAAAGGTGCACCACCACTGCCTGGCAAAACCATAGTTTTTTTTAATACAATATAAATACTGAAAGCAAAAAATTAGAATGGGGGTATAGATAGAAAATTGCTAATTTTCTCATTTCCATATCAGTAAATTCATACTACTTAAAATTGAAACATGAAGTCATACAAACTTAGAACATTTCATATTTTTCATAATTTGTTTTTTCTATTAGAGGTCTCTAGTGCTCAAATCATTTGAAGCAAAGAAATATTTATCTGAGCTCAACATTTTACCTTCATTTTTCTTCTATGAAAGTTAATTAAAATCACATTTATCATTCATGATATAGTAACAATATAAAATCCCACTGCTCCTATCAGCCATCAATCTGTTTCTATACAAATTGTGTTTAGAACAATGACTTCATTTTAGTAAGAACAATGTTAATGACTCAGTAACATGTTAATGATAAGAAGAGACTTGGGTTTTTAGTCTTTTTTTTATTCACAATTAAGTTGTAATGTTCATTGTTGAAAGTGGAATTTTGTATCTCAAAAGTATGTGTTGACACTCAAATGCAATTGTATATGGAAACAAGACCATAATAAGTAATCAAGTGTTAAATGAGGTCAGCAGGGTAGGGGCCAAAACCAAAATGAGAGATGTGTGTGTGTGTGTGTGTGTGTGTGTGTGTGTGTGTGTGTGTGTGTGTGTCTGGTGTGCTCTCTACCGGCAAGACAATAAGAAAACTTAAAAAATTCTTTTCTCCCTGAATGCAGGCCAGAAATCATGTGAACAGAATGAGAAGGTGCCAGCTCCCAGCCAGGAATAGAGCTAATCAGAAACTAACCCTGACAGGACTTTGATCTTGTACTTTCTAATGAAAAATAAATTCCATTTTTATGCCAAGGAGTTTGGTTATGGCAGCCCACTAATAAAGTATCAATGCTGGCAAGATAAATAGAAGCAGAAAGGGACAGAGGTAAACAGATGCAGTGGAAGTAAAGAGATTTCCTTTATGTTGTTCTCTGATCTCCAAACACAAGATGTGCAACACATGCATGTGCACACTATCTGCACATATCATATGCACACAAATAAAATATAAAATCTGTAAAAATGTCTCTAACAAATTCCCTTTTACTAAATAATAAAGTAGCTCTAATTCTTCAATGACTATAACAGGATGAAGGCGTATTTGTGTATGTCTCCTTATGCCTTCATTCCTTTGCTTTTGTTTACACACACACACATATTCAACAGCTACAATTATAACAATCTAAAAGAATATCCTCTCTGAAACTTACCTTTTTCTTTTTACTAGTCCCATCAGGCAGAGGAAAATGATCTTCTAAAAACTCACCCAAGGTAAACAGAAGTTTCTCCTTAAAATCTTTTATACTAAGCATCTTAGCTTTCAGCTCTTTAAGGATGCTAACAATAAAAAACAATAAGGCAAATATTTAACTGATAAAATACATTTGTGCATGCTTCTGGTTATACATGAAGCTGATCAAAGTTGCTGAAACTTCATTTGATCCACATAATTAGAGAATATTCTTTGTAACATGTAATGACACTAGTAAACCATTCAAAAAAGAAGAAACAACTAATAGTTGGCAAAAATTTGGGCAAGTGTTAGATTCCTAATAAAATGAGACACCTTTTTTTTCAAATTTCACTTTATATTAATTCTTTGTGGATTTTACTGATATGGGATGGCCTTCTGTATGTGTTGCTTTTACTGGCTAATGAATAAAGCTGCTTTGGCCTACGCAGGGCAGAATATAGCCAGGCTAGAAAAGATAGAGAGTAGGCAGAGTCAAGGTAACGCCAGGTAGCTGCCGAAGAAGGATGCCACTGGAACCTTATGGGTAGGCCACAGTCTCATGGTTATACACAGATTAATAGAAATGGGTTAATTTAAAATGTAAGAGCTAGCAAGAAATACACCTAAGTCATTGGCCAAACAGTTTTGTAAGTAATATAGTTTGTGTGATTATTCAGTTCTGGGCGGCCAGGAAACGAACAAGCAGTCTCCAGTTACATTTCACATCATGCATCTCAATTCCACATTTCCCCATCTCTTCCCATCTGTCTTTCTACCCTTGTAACATCTTGCCCACAGGATAAAACAAGATAAAATTTAAAAGAGAAAAAAAGAAAAGAAAACTCTCATGGAAGCTGTAGTGTGGCACAGGGAACCACACAGTCCTTTAGTCCATATGTTGTTACTTGCAAGTGTTAGTTGAGTTGTTAGTCTGGTTTGAGATCTCATCATTAGGCCCTCACTAAGGCTCCTCTTAGGTATCCTGTTGTCCTGTGTCATGGAGATCCCATAACTTTGGGTATGTAGGACCAAGCCCTTCATGTGCTCTAGCAGATCATAGACAGGAAAGATGTTGGGATGGGCCAACTCATAGCTCTAGTTCTCGGTCTGGGTGGCTGCTGGGTTGGTTATGGTCCAACTCTCCTTCATCCTCAATACCAGGATGAGCTCTCTAGAACTGCCCCAGTTAGTTCACCCTAAGTAGTATTCAAGGGGAGGTACTGATTCTCCTACCTCATAACCTCTGGGTTGTCTTGCCAACACCTACAACCCCTGGGCCAGCTCTACTAACCTGTCAAGTCAAGGTGTAGGGGCCACTCTGCCAAGTGCTGCAGCTGGTAAGAGGCAGAGCTAATCCTCTCCCTCTAGTGACCTCAGGGACTGCTCTCCCACTGATCACAGGCTTCAGTGGGCATGGGGACGGAAGTATCTCTCCCTTGCCCATACCACATGGTAGATGAGGGGTGGGGCACAATCTCTCAGGATGACATTCTCAAGGTCAGCTCTGCTGTCCCTGGCAGGGTACAGGGCCATTCTCCCTAGTTCTGCATATGGTAAGGGGCAGGGTTACCTCTCCTCTGCCACTGGTGGCAAGGGGCAAGGAGGGTAGGACATCTTTCCTTTTCCCTAACCACCACATGGTAGACAAGGGGTGTAGGGCCAATTCTCCCCCTCTCATGATCTCAGGACAGGCTCATCTGTGCCCCCATCAGCAGGATCAGCACTACTATGGTACCCAGGTGAGGTGCAGGGCTCACTCTCCAGAGTGCTGTACATAGCGAGGGGTGAGAGATAAGGGGAGGGCATCTCTCCCCACCCACACTACATGACAAATGAGAATGGGCCTGCATTTATGCCCTCAGTGTGTGCTCAGCTGCATCATCACCAGTAGGGATCGCTCTACTGGGGTGCCCAGGTGAGATGCAGGACCTGTTTTCCCAAGTGCTACAGCAGGTGAGACGCTGGGCCAGCTCACTTGACTTCAGGGCCACCTCTCCCACCTATAAGTGGTGAGGAGGAAGTAAGGAGAAGATATCTCCCCTTTGTTCACACCACATGGCAGATGAGAGGCAGGGACATATATCCCATGCTCAAACTGGGCCACCCTTTGATCTACTTTAATATAAAAAAATACCTTCTCAAAAAAAAAAATCTGCTTGAAAAAATCTAGAATACAATATTAAGTACCTTGATACAGAAAATGTCACATCGCGGTTTTTCAAATCACTGTGCAATACATTAAGAGATTCCAGAATCTGTTGTTGTTCATCCAACCACTGTTGCTCCCTTTAAACATGGAAAACAATCCAGTCAAATAAATATTTAAGTGTCAACTCAGTATATACCAATGATTAATAGAAATTACAAGTTTACCTTTCTAAGTCTTCCTTTAACTTTTCATTCTTTGATTGAATAGTAGATACTACCATTTCAAGATTACATCTCAATTCTTGGAACTAAAATAAAAGAATGTAAGTTAATACTTAGTCTTTTGGCTTATACATAATTTAGTGCCCAAATGATACTGAAATTGGTATAGAATGTCTCAAAATAGAAGCCAATAGTAAAAATGGCTAGCAGAAACAATTTGAAATGGTAAATACATAGCACCCAGATGGTTTTTGGTGACACATCAATAATAAATATAACATATAAGAAGTTTCAAGCTACATATTTTAATTCTAAACTGAAATTAAATTCGAATTGTTTTTAGGAGATTAGGTCTCTTTACTAATGAGTAAACAAGTAAATGTTAATATTTTTGGAGTGGTTCAGTCTAACTCTTATGTCATAAGCTGAACTAAAACAGTTCTAATTATAAATTATTTGGAAATACTACAAATCCTAAATGGCTCACCTCTTCTTTTCCTAATGTTATCAAAACATCTTCAGTCAGGGGAGTTACTACAAAAATAAAACAAAGTCATATACACACTTCGTTAATTCTCAAAAATTTGATTTTGTGGCTTTTTTGAGATATCTCTTTTTCCATTCCACTTATATTACCAAACTTTTGTAAAATATATTCATTTTTGTGACTTCTAGATTAACATCTTTGAACAAAAAACCCGAAGTAAATAACAAGAGATAAAGTTGATATTAATGCATTTTTAAAATGTCTTTTTCTTCCTAAGACCTTAGAAGCATGCTTAATAATGAATGAACTCCTAAGACCTTTTTCTCTATATCTATATATATAATCTACATATATGTAATATATATCAAAAGGTGTATTTCTTGTCATTGTTGGTATTATAAGAATAGCACATCAGATATATTAGCATGGTTTTTCACTCAGCAGAACTCCCATAATATAGAAATAGTTCATCATTTAATAACTGTATATTAATTATATATACATATGTATATATCATAATGTAGTATAATTTCTAAAATGGAATACTAATACTGTACTAGGCATCTTTTTATGTCTTTATGTACTAGTGCTTTTAATGTCAAGGAGCATACTCCCAGAAATGGAATTATATAGAATAAAATGCAAAATATAAAGAGAAAACCAGATACAAAAATACATGGCACAAAAAAACATGGCTAAATAAATAAATAAATGACACAATAAATAAATAAATAAATACATGGCATAGGAAGCTTAAGACTTTCATAATAATATAATAATAATCAAATCTACTAGTTGGATATTACAACTATAACATTTTAACCCATCTTCTATTCTTTAAAAATAGGCAAAAAATATATTTGGCTCCCATAGGACAAGACAAGAAGTAGCATAAAAACTACACGTTCTCTATTCTAAAAAGCATATAAAGTAATTTTTCCACTGTGCAAGTTTCAGTTCACGGTTTCTACTGAAATCAAGGTACTGTTTTTGAGGGTCAAATAATAACTATAATAAGGTCCTCATTATAAAGGATATTATACTCTAACATAAGAATTTAATGTACAAAGGAAAGAAAAATGGAGTGGTTCCTAGTAGCAATTGACCACGGACAATTTCAAGTACAAATGCATCTTGCCATTTTTGAGATCATTAATTTGTTTGTGTGTTTGTTTTGTTTTGTTTTGTTTTCTAAGACACAGTTTCTCTATATAACAGTTCTGGTTATCCTGAAACTCACTTTGTAGACCAGGCTGGCCTTGAACTCACCCTCTACCTCCCAGTGCTGAGATGAAAGGTATGTACCACCGCCGCCCAACAAAGTGATTAATTGGATATGCCCTTGTCAATAATATCTGAACCTAAAAATAAGAATCTTACTTTCGGGTGTTCTTTTGTTCCAGTGATCAAGTTCAGCAGTCAGACATTTGATTTGCATAGAAAGTAATGAAAGCTGTTAAAAAAAAAGATTTCAAGGTATTTCTAGTAGAATATTGATGAAAATATAATCAACACTGTAATGCTAGTTCAAAAATAAATGTTATCAAAACAGTATCACTAAACAGGTTCTAATACCCATACTAACTATAGCTCATAAATGGTTTTTACAGCAACATTATTGAAAATAAAGAATTCTGCTTTACGACCAAAACTAAAGGAACCTACATACATTACATTTACTTCCTAAATATACTTTTAAAAAAAAACAAAAAAAAAAAGCTAACATAGCAAGACATTCTCCCCACACACAAAAAAAAATAGAATGCTATGTCTTACCAGGATTTTCAGCCAATTTTTTCTTAAATATGTTCACCCCCCCATGATTTTTAAAAATATTGTAACTGCTTTTAATTGTACTGAAAAAGAAATGTAAATATGTATGTGAAGATAATGGTCAGACTAGTTTCAGAGCTACATATAAAAAGCATTTTTTAAAAATACATTAGTACTTTGCAAAATATATCTTATCCTGAGACAAATTATGGTAAGTATGTTTTTGGTATGATAAAGACAAATTTAATTATGCTCTAAAACAACTCTTTCTAATAATAAAGCAAGAATAATATTTTGAAAGTAATAAATTTTCTATAAAAAATGTCTAACTTTTTGCTTCAGAAAAGAGATTAAGCCAGGTATAGTGAAATAAGCTTGCAAATCAGGACTCAGAGACACAGGTCAAGAACAGCTTCAGCGGGACTTTGGGAGCTCAGTCCAGTGCTCCAGTGTGGGTCTCTGTCTCTATCTCCATCCATCACCAGATGAAGGTTCTATGATGATATGCAAGATATTCGTCAGTATTGCTCAAGGATAGGGTCATTTCAGGTTCCCTATTCTCAACTGCCCAAGGAACTAACTGGGGACCTCAGCTTGGGCACCTGGGAGCCCCTCTAGGGTCAGGTCTCTTGCCAACCCTAAAGTGGTTCCCTTAACTAAGAATTGTGGTTCCGTGCTCCCCTGTCCAACCTTCCTTTATCCCAATCCTCCTGCTTTCCCAAGGCCCGACCTCCTTCCCTTCTAACTTTTCTCTCCCCCATCTCCCCTTACCCCCAACCCACCCCACCCCAAGATCCCAATTTTCTCCCCGGCAATTTTGTCTACTTCCCTTAGCCAAGAGGATAACTATATGTTTTTCCTTGGGTTCCCCTTCTTACTTAGCTTCTTTCGGGACCACGAGGGATGCACCCACCCACTGAGACAGTGGAGCTGATCTATTGAGAGCTCACCAAGACCAGCTGGACTGTGACTGAAAAAGCATGGGATAAAACTGGACTCTCTGAACATGGCGAACTATGAGGGCTGATGAGACGCAAAGGACAATGGCACGGGGGTTTGATCCTACGTAATGTGATGGCTTTGTGGGAGCCCAGCCAGTTTGGATGTTCACCTTCCTAGATATGGACGGAGGGGGGAGGTCCTAGGTCTTACCACAGGGCAGAAAACCCTGACTGCTCTTTGGACTGGAGAGGGAGGGGGAAAGGAGTGGGGGGAGGGGGAGAAGGGTGGGAGGAGGGGGCGTAGGGGGGAGGAGGGGGAGGGAAATGGGAGGCTGGGAGGAGGTGGAAACTTGTTTTTTTTTTTTCTCCTTTTCTCAATAAAAAAAATCGTTTAAAAAAAACAATATTCAATATAATTTAATTTTGTATCCAATGTAATTGTTTCTAAACAATAACACAATAACTCACAAATACCAATCTATTATCCCATCATCAAAAAAAAAAAAAAAAAGAACAGCTTCAGCAACATGACAAGTTCAAGCTAGAGCGGGCTGCATGAGACCATTTCTTTAAAAACAAACAAAACACAGAAAACCGAGTTTGAGTGCTAAAGGCATGGTGGTACTACACATGCAGAAATGAGGTATCAAAGCAAACCAGAAACTCCTACCTCTTAAAAGCCCTGCTCATAGCCATCAGCCCTTTACTTGGATTTCTTGGAACTCACTTCCTCTCAACCTTAGCCATACATCTCTTCCCTGTGCTGATTTGATTCTACATCCATTCACCATAATAAACCTTAGCCACAAGAAGACTAAGTCCTATGAGTCCTCTGTGACAATCATCACACTGACAAATGACCACAAGGACCCGCAACACAACAGGAATTACAAAACTATATTCTTTGCCTGTTTGTAACTTAGGACAGTACATGCTTTTATGTATATAAAACTCCTCGCAAAGTCAGTGCTTGGTATACAGGATGAAAACCACTCACATTTCTTTGTAGGTTTAGTGTCCAGGGATTCATATTTTGTAAGGTCTTAATTTCTACAGTTAAGGAACCATATTTTCCCAAGGAAAATGATAGGTTAGTTAACACACGATAATGCACTTAAAAATGGTATATTCAGTTAGACATTTACAGTACATTGCATATGTGCAGACTCTAAAACATTTTATGGATACAAAATTATATTGGAAGCCCCAATATTTGGTGCATAAAAGTTTACAATAGTATTTTCTTGATGAATTGCTCCTTTTATTAACATGTAGTATCCCTTTTTAAATATCTCTTCTAAGTATTTCTGGTTTGAAGTTTATTTTGCCAGACATAAGGATAGCTATGATTGTCTGCTTACATTTTCTGTTTCCTTGGTATTTTTTCCATCCTTTGATACTAAGTTTTAGAGAATTTTTGCTGAAAATATGTGTTTTTTGGAGATAATATCTAGTTGGTTGTGGGCTGATTTTTTACTTTAAATAGAAGGGTTTTCTGTTTCAGGATATAGGTATTAGAGTCAGTGAGATGGTTCCGCAGGTAAAGTGCTTGTTGCACAAACTACCTGGCACCTGAATTCAATCCCTGAAGCCTATGCAAAGGTGGAAGGAGAGAAATGACTTCACAAAGTTGTTCTCCGACCCCACCACATAAACACACACTGTGGCATGCATTGCCCCTTATCCCCATCATATGCATACACACACACATACACAAAATAATCTTTAATTATAAAAGAATATAGGTATTAACAAAGTTGTTATATTGGAATAAATATAAGCAGATAAACTTTTTCCAAAAAGCATGAATTCTGCTTACCTATTTTCTAGAACAGAGTATAAGTTCATACCTGAGCATTTGAGCTAGTGAGTGTCTCAGTTCCAATGAGTGACAATTTATTCTGGCACTTGATTTAAAAAGTAAAGAAAAACAAGTGACATATTTATAATCCATAGACAATTACCTTCTCCTCCCTTTTTATATTAGCCCCATACAACACCCTTCTAAAAAACCATGGGAGTTAAGAGAACAAGAAAGTACTATAGAACAATAACAAAATAAGTAACTAAAAACGTAAGAAAATAAACATCCAAGAGACATTGTTTACCTGACATTAAAAACATCTAACAATGTTAATGATTGGATTTGATATTTGAAAATATGAGTAACTTAAGTCTTATCTGTCCTCATTTCTGGTTGTAATAATTTTAATATTTAAGTTATTGTTAAATCCAAGTTTTGATAGAGAAAATAACAAAAAAGAATTATAAAAATTATCTAATAAGTACATTAATGATATACAGTACCAAAGATTTTGCTAAATGATTTTTTTAAAAATACTCCATTCATCTTTCCTGCTCTGACAGTTTAGTGACAGAACAGGATGCTATCTATATACATAAAAAAAATCATTCATCACTTCTGCTCTGACACGTTCCTGAAGTACTACGTGTATCTGTAACTTATGTCATATATTGTGGTATGCTAAAAAGAAATCTTACCAAAATAACATAGTGTACCAAGTGTCTCTAGTTCATTAAAATAAATATATATATACATAATGTCAAGTTCAACATTTGTATTCATGTTATACTCATAATTCTTATAATTATATATTATATAATAATGTGTTGTATATTATATTTATATTATATTAATTAATATTATTATATTAATATATTATTTATTGTTATATATTATTTCTATTTCTATATTCTACTGACCAAAAACAGGTACTGAAATAAAATCTCCTTGAGAGCCAGAACTACAATCATTTTTTTCTCTTTCTACAGTTTACCTAGTATAAAGTTTCTTAAGAGAACACTTTATAAGTTTTACATATAAAATATATATAATTTATAAAATAAGAGCTATGGGGAAACTAACACCATTTCCTAAGTTTATTATGTAATTTTATATAAACTAACATATCACTTTTACCTATTGATACTTACATCTTCCATGTCTTCCCACATTTTTTCACACTGTTTAAAAAGTTCTTCCTCAGTATCTATAACAACTTCCATATCTGTAGTAATATCTAGATGTAGTTCTGGTTGATTCTCTGACATATCCTTTACAGTTTTCTTCACCTTAGTGGAAGAATTAAGCAAAAAAGATACATGCATTTGGCAACCATTTGCTGAATGTAGCAGAGACTAACAGACAAAAGTCCTTTGAGAAACATGAGCACAATACTGTTGCAGGGAGTATCTAAGTATTAGCCACTGTAGAAAAGAATATCGATGTAACAGCAAAAACCAGCAACACAACTACCATAGGACCCAGAAATTCCACTAGTAGACATATATCCAAACAAATGAAACTACTATGTTGAAAAGATACCTGTCTACAATCTCTTGTTTACCACAGCACTATTCACAATAACCCAGAAATGATCAACTGTAAGGTCCTTCTCTTGTAATAGGAGGGGCAGGAAAGGAGCAAGATACAAATAGATACAGATAGAGTAGATGTGTTGGCAAGAGCATGTGGAAGCTGTGTTTGGATTACTTCTTCCTAGTAATTGAAATGTTATTATGTTAATTATGTTAACTATGTTATTATGTTAATCAGTTGTGAGTAAGGATAGATAGAAGGATTCAAAATTTAAGAGCAGATACAGCCAGGTGTGGTGTACCATGCCATTAATCTCAGCACTTGAGAGGTAAAGGCAGACGGAATTCTGTGAGTTCAAGAACAGCCTGGTATAGTAAGGGATTTCAGGGCAGCCAGGACTATATAAAAGAAAAACCCTGTTTCAAGCAAGAGAGGTGGGCTGGAGAGATAGATTATCCCTTAAAGTTTTTACAACCAAAAATTTAAGAGTAGAGGTGGAAAGGGTGTAAAATGGTTATATAAGAGAACTCAAAAAATATAAAGCAGTTTTGGATAGTGGCCAATTAAAACAATAATGAGCTGGGCAAGGTGCTACACGCCTTTAATCCCAGCACTTAGTAGGCAGAGGCAGGTGTATCTCTGTGAGTTCAAGGCCAGTCTGGCCTCTAAGGGAATTCCAGGATAGCCAGAGCTCCTACAGAAAGAGACCCTGGCTTGAAAAGCCATAACTAATAATAATAGTAATAACAATAGCAGCATATTAAAAAGGATGACAGTCATCCAGAAGCTAAAATTTTTCAAATAAAGAAAAGTGATGGGCTGGAGAGATGGCTCAGAGGTTAAGAGCAGTGGCTGCTCTTCCTGAGGGCCTGAGTTCAAGTCCCAGCAACCACATGGTGGTTTGCAACTATCTAATGAGATCTGGTGCCCTCTTCTGGCCGCCAGGCAAATATGCAGGCAGAACACTGTAGGCATAATAAATAAATCCTTAAAAAAAAACTTGTTTCTTTTTTTAAATGACAAAAAAAGGCTGCTGCAAAGAATAGGAGTTAATAATTTATCATGAGATTTAAAGGTAAGTAAATTTACGAAAATAGATGGAGAAATAACCAGAGGACTTCTAGGCTACAATGTCAAATGTAAATCACAGTAAACACCACTCCAAAGTAGTTTTTACTCATATGGACTTAAGTTTATATTGCTTAACCATAAGTTACCAACAGAGTTGTAAAACATCTAAATAGATACAACACTATACCATGTTTCTATGCCCTTTAAGTCAGTAATGTAAGGATGTCAATTCTCCCCAAATTGAATTATTTTATCTTAAGTCTAAAAAGTGACAAAAAAAAGTCGCACTGGAAGAGTAAATTCTAAAATCTACATAGAAATATAGAGATCCCAAAATACCAAAGATCCATTGCATATAACTAAAATGTAAAGTCGGCTCATGAACACCGAACACAACTGCTCACAGACACACGCAAGTCAAAGAGAATATTCTAATAGTGGGAGCCTATCTTATAGTAAATTCAAAATATAGTCTGGCTGATAGAGATGTACTTCATTCTTTTAACAAAAAGTTCTCCCCAACCCCTCCCGCCTGCCCCTCCATCTTTTTCTGGGATAACCAGCTAGGTTCTGGAACGCCATGGCCCTGGAGGCTGAGAGAGGCGGGGCATCCGAAAGTACCCGGGCTGTAAGTATTCGATTGTTTGGGGGGGCTCTGCTCCCCAAACTTGCGAGCTACCATCCTCGACAGGAAACTAGGGCTGTCACAGCGCTGTCCCCCTGCTTACCCAGCCAGAACCAATCTCAACTCCACTCAGCACACCGCTCCCGTCACCGGCCAGGCCGCGGGGGGTTTGCGCGCGCTGCTTGCTGATTGGGTCAGCGCTGGTCCACACCAGCCAATCAGGAACGTCCTTGGACGCTGACGTACAGGCTGCGCCGCCGCTACTGCGGCCTTCCGAGCTCGCTCGGCCGTCGCGTCTCTTCTGACGCAGCACACAACATGGCGGCCGAGAGTGGCAGCGATGCTCACCTGAGAAGAAGGCGGCGCCGGGACCCAGACGATCGGGAAAAGACGGAACACGGCGACCGAGAACTGGCCATGGCGGTGGCGGCGAGCGAAGAAAATGAGGACGAGAGTGAAGAGCGTTGGGTTGGGCCTTTACCGGTGGAGGCGACCCTGGCCAAGAAGAGGAAAGGTAGCTGCGGAGAGCCCTCCCGAGAAGGAGCTGGAAGGCTGCCTGGCGGTGTGGGAGGGTCGCTTTCCAGCACGCGCGGGAGTGGGACAGTGGGTCCGTGGCTTTGAACGGACGGGCTTTACCTCGTTTCCTCCCCAAATGGGGATTTGGTCTTGGTACAGCGTAATTTTCAAACTCTGAAACCCTGTTGCTCCCTGACTCGTTGGCATAGATGCTACGACTGATGCTGGTCTGTTTGTTTGTGTTGGGTGTTGGATGGACCTCGTAGCTGTCACGTAAAGTTGGAACTCCTAATTTGGATTAGCACCTGTGGAAGGAGCACTGGTTCTTAGAATCATAAATCTTAAATTCTCCACCCTGACTGTCTACGAATGGAGGTTTCAAACCTAGCGGAAGTTGCTTAACTTTGCTGGATTTGAAGTCATATTCGAGACAAAACAGAAGTGTTTCACCATAACAAGGTTTTTTTTTAAGGCTGGAAAGGGGATAAATTAAATTTTACTCTTTTAAACCCTTTTCTAAGAACTTTTAGGAATGTGTCGCTCGGTGGCGGGGTGTGTGTGTGGTAAGAGCTTCTTTAATCATGCTTTTTAACAGATAGCCTTCTAGGCTTTAGGTGTGTGTGTGGGGGGGGGGTATAGCTCCTTTCACCATGCTAGCTTTTTAACCGGAAGCCTTCTAGGTTTTAGGTGTAGTGGTTGCTGAATATTGTCATCTGTCCTCCTGTCAAGTGTTTGCCACAGCAGCCTTTGCCTTCGTGGCACGTACTACTTTTTGTAGTTATGTATTTATTCCTGGGACTTTCTGAACACTACTAGACTAAGCATGTAAGGACATGGATCTTGCACTTTTTCCGCCAACCCTTGGTACTTGGTACAGTGCTTTGTATAAAAATTTAATAAATATTTTATAACATTTATGCTGTTCTTTCACTTAAATATTACTACATGTACTACTTAAATGGAGGAAATGGGGATGACCAGGAAGGAAGAAAGAAATTAAGAACTGAAATATTGGCCGAGGAAGCAAGTGTTTTATAAACAATAGTTTTGACAGAAAAAATCTTTACCCTTTGATGTGGGAGTGTCATATATCAATCTGTTGATTTCATTGGTTAAGCAATAAAGAAACTGTTTGGCCCTAGTAGGCTAAAACATAGGTGGGAGGAGTAAACAGAACAGAATGCTGGGAGGAAGAGGAAGTGAGCTCAGACTCGACAGCTCTGCCCTCTGGAGCACACACGCCATGCTCCCGGCTCCCAGGTGGGCACATGAGATGAAGCTCCGACCCAGGATGGACGTAGGCTAGAATCTTCCTGGTAAGACCGGTGCTCACAGATTATTAGAGATGGGTTGATCGGGATATCAGAATTAGCCAGTAAGGGCTAGAGCTAAAGGGCCAAGCAGTGTTTAAATGAATACAATTTGTGTGTTGTTATTTCGGGACATAAGCTAGCAGGCTGCAGGGGTGTTGGGGATGCTGCCCCACAGCTCCCTATTACTACAGCCCTTAGCCAATGCTTTTTTGAAAAAACAAAAAAAAAACACCCTCTGAAACTACAAACAAAAGATTTGTTACAAAAATAATGTGAAACATTATCTAAAATGTTTAACAATTTTTAACTTGTAGAAATGGAGCTAAGATTGTACTTTGCATGTATGTTTTCACAGTAATATACAGTTGTATGACACTTCATTAGATTAAGCTATTTCTAAAATCCATTCCTTTTTATTATTTCATGTGTATGAATGTTTGCCTGCATGGATGTACACACCATGTGGATATCTGGTGCCCAAGGAGTCCAGAAGAGGGCATCAGATATCCTGAAACTGGAGTTACAGATAGAAGAGCAGCCAGTACTCTTAACTGCTGAGCCTTCTGTCTGACCCCAAATTAAGCTATATTTAAATTTTTATTTATTATTATTATTATTTATTATGTGTTGGTGGGGTCAGAGAGGTGGGAACACAAATACCACAGCACAAGAGTGGAGAGCAGAGGACAAGTTTGTGGAGTTGGTTCTTTGCTTTTACCTCTGTGTGGGTTCCAAGGACTGCACTCAGGTCACCAGACTTGAGCAAGGACTTTTACTCTCGGGACCGTCTTGCCCATCTTAAACTATTTCTTAAGGAAAATAATTTCTTTGTTTTCTTTATGTCCAAGTTCCCTTGAACATGCATTAATGAATAATAAAAGATATCTAGAACAGATAGGATAAAATTTATTACAGAAAACTCCAACTAAAAGTGGAAGACTACTTTTATATTTTACAAAAGTGCCAAAATAAGCAAGCCAGGATTGGTGTGGAAGCTCCACAAGATCGTAGGCACCCTTTGCCCGAACATAACAAGTGTATGGCCTTCATTTTCATCGTCCTCAGTCCTTAGAATTACAGCATTAATAATCTAGCTCCAAGCTAGGGAAGAAAAGGAAATTTTTTAAGAATATTTTCTCATCATCACAAAAACACTTGCTCCTTTTCCCATCATGTAGTTCATACGGTCACTACAGAAGACTGTGAGAAAGGCCATTTAACCAAATGTTAGTAGGCACCCATAAAAATAGGGATTCCGTTACTCACAAAGTTAATGGAAAATAGATTGATAGACATAACTTTGAGTGTGCTATATAACAGTACAAGAAGCTAACAGTTTGTCATGTTTAATTTACCAACTTTATATAGGCATGGTTGATCATCTTCTTTAGAAACAATACCTTTTTAAAAATAGATTATACTAGTAAAATTGGTCCTGGCTCATAATAAAATTGATTTTTTTTTGGTGTTTCTCAATTTTCCATTTTTTCAGGTGTTGTACTTCTAGAAAAATGCCTGAGAAGCACTCAACTCGATGTGTTAGGATTTCCTCAGCTCTAAACATCTAAGCATTTCTCAATGATGTAGTAGAGAATTTTTGCCTTAAAAATAAATATACATCTCAAACCTAGCCATTAGCTTATTAGTTAAAATAACAATAACTGAGAGCTATATGGTTACGGATATTTTCCTAAAGCTTTAGGTCTTTAAACATTCCTATTAAGCCAGAACCGTTAAAACCGTTGAAACAGGAGGTGGAGGTATAGCTCAGTCATTAGATGCACTTGCTGCTCTTCCAGACTGAGTTTGATTCCCAGCACCCACATCAAACAGCTTATAAACCACTTGTAATTCTAGTTCAGATGGATCCAGTCCCCTCGTCTGGTCTCATTGGGCACATGTACACACAGGGCATGCAACGGTACAGACAGAATCTTTGGAACAGCATATAATCCCTGAGAACCTGTCGTAGAAACTAGTGCAGCTGACATAACAAATATTGTATGCATTTTTTAGCCCATTTGTTGATTGAAAGAAAATTTAGAAGAGAATACAAAATTTAGAAAATTCTAAGTAGTCATGTTAATTTCATTAATTATACTTTCCCCCTCCCCCAGTTCTAGAGTTTGAAAGAGTCTATCTTGATAATCTCCCCAGTGCATCCATGTATGAGCGCAGTTACATGCACAGAGATGTTATCATGCATGTGGTATGCACCAAGTAAGTGTATCATCCTTTTATGTTATGTGTATGAGTGTCTGCGTCACTTGTGTGCCTGGTACCTACAGAAGCTAAAATAGTGTGTCTGACCTCTATGAACTGGAGTTACAATAAACTTTGTAAACTGCCATGTTGGTGCTGGGAGGTGAATCCAGCAGCCAGTACTCTGTCTTACTGAGCTATCTCTCCGTAGCTCATATTATACATTCTCAGAAAAAAAAAATCTAAAGCTTAATTATGAGTGGATTTACAGAAGTAATTTGGGAATTTTATAGATTTAATTCTGCAAGTTCTGTAGTAATTTAACAAAGCCCTGCATGTTTTCTTATATAAAATGAATAAACCAGTATTAGTAGAGCTTTTCTAAAGAAGATAGTATATTACGATAAGAATAATAATATAATAATAATTTGGCTTCTTTGGTGTTTATAGAGAAGCTAATGGTAACTCAGACCTCCTAAAATTATCATAGGCCCTTCCAAATGGATGAATAGGGAGACTCAAAGAGTAATAATAGTAGAAATAATGTCCCTCTTGTGTTTAACTCATTCTATGTCTACATACTGTTGGGATTATTTCATTAATTACCTGATTTATCTTAAGAACAGTTTTTTTTTTATTATGTATACAATATTCTGTCTGTGTGTATATCTGCAGGCCAGAAGAGGGCACCAGACCTCATTACAGATGGTTGTGAGCCACCATGTGGTTGCTGGGAATTGAACTCAGGACCTTTGGAAGAGCAGGCAATGCTCTTAACCACTTGAGCCATCTCTCCAGCCCCAAGAACAGTTTTAAAAGTCATAAAATCTTCATTTTATAAGTGAGAGAACTGTGGAGTACAAAGGTTAAATGGCAGAAGCAGCTAAAGAGAAAATAAAACAAATTCCAAATTTCTATTCCTTATTTGGATTTTGAAACTATATGCAAGAGTAATACTAAGTTCATAGTTTTAAAAAGAACATCTTGACTATACTCAGATGAATGCTTTCAAATAGGTCAAAAGTAGGTAGAGTCTTGTGTAGAAATTTGGATCAGCTGTGATTGGGACTTGGATGGTATTGGCAGAGATCAAAACTAGATGAACAGTCCAAAAAAAAAAAAAACGAGAACAGTCCACTGTTGATTTCTTAAAACAGATTGCATTCCTTCATATTATAAGAATAGGATAATTCTGACCAAATTCGATTTTTATCCCAAAGCTGCAGAGTTTAACAAAAAGGTTTTTTTTTTGTTTTTGCCAAGTGTGTGTGTGTGTGTGTGTGTGTGTGTGTGTGTGTGAGACAGAGAGAGAGAGAGGATCTGAAGTCAGTCACCATGGATGCGGTGTAATGTGAATAAATTAACTGTCTAAGTAATATGTGTAAAATACTAAATGTATATACACTGTGCTCCTCAAATGGATTCCATTTTTATATCTGTATGCTGGGGAAAAAAATGTCTGTTCAAAATATTTTTGATTCTTAACCAAAATGCCTTGAATAAGATTAAAAAAATTACGTTGGAATTTTTCTATATGTGAAAGTAGTTTGGGTCTTTATAATCTTCTGAAAACTATAAACTCTTCTATTTAAAAGACTGCCTTTAGGGTAATATAATAATAAGAAAGTCTAGTGATTCCAACAGAGATTTGTTTGTATGATTTTGTTTTGAGACAGGGTCTCCCTTGTAAGTTGTGCAAGCTGGCTTTGCACCACCACAACCACGGCCTAGGCAGCCTTTCTGCCTCAGCCTCCTGAGTGGCTAGGGTTACAGGTTTACACCACCAAGCCAAGCTATTATGCTAAATCCTCATTCAGTTCTGCACCAGGACTAACTCTAATTCCGACCCACCCTCCCTCCCTCCCTCTCTCCCTCCCTTCCTCTTCCCTCTGTCTCTCTCCCCCTCCCTCCCTCCTGCCTTCCCTCCTTTCCTTTCTTCCTTCCATTTATTAATTTATGTTAAATCCTCAGTTAACTATGAACTCACTTCTTAGGATGACTATTAGTTGCTATTATTCCTGAAGTGGTCTGTGTAAAGGAGAGTTTAAAAACAGAGCAGCAAACCCTAAACTGACATGGTAGGATGCAGCTATAAACCCAACACTAAGAGGCAGAGGCAGGCAGAAGGATCACAAATTCAAGACTAGTATGAAGTACACATAGTATGAAGTTAGTTTGTTCCACGTAGTAAGAACTTGTCTTTTTTTTTAAAAAAAAAAAAAGCAAAAAAAGTCTATTATTGAAGTAGTTAATTACTGCTTGTTAATGTTTACTTTGAAATTTCTCAGAGATCTGTTTTAGAAATTAACTTTAAAACTTTTATATATACAGAACAGATTTTATTATCACTGCCAGTCATGATGGACATGTTAAGTTTTGGAAAAAAATAGAAGAAGGAATAGAATTCGTTAAACATTTTCGCAGTCATCTTGGTAAGAGTTTCTCTTTTTTTGTTGCTCCTGTTTAAATTGTACTAATTAAAATTTCCTTTAAAATATTATGATATTTTTCTTTGGGTCATGTACATTTATTTTGTTTATATTTATTACAATGTTTTAATTTTATTTTTTAAAATAGGAATAATTGAGAGTATTGCAGTTAGCTCTGAGGGAGCATTGTTCTGTTCTGTGGGTGATGATAAAGCAATGAAGGTATTTGATGTAGTGAATTTTGACATGATCAATATGCTGAAGCTTGGGTAAGTTTTCTATAAAGTATATATTTTATATATGTGTGTGTATATATATTTAACTTAGTTAAAAATAATTGTAAACAAAACACCATATCATAGATTATTTTTTAACAGAATATATTATCTCACTATTTGGGATTTTTGGATACTTCTACTCTGGTACTTCTTATTAACACGGATTTTCAAACAATGTCACAAAGGGTCACCATATGCAGCAAGTACCACTTAGTAAATTGATGAAGACTCATCGTGTCTAACTAGATGGTTAGAATAACTTCCTTGCTGTATTATACTTACTTTGAAGATATAAACTTGTGTTTTTATATGGTTCATAGATGGTTATAATTTGCTGGTGGTTTAAACTTCAGAGTGTACCAATACTGATGTGTAAACTATGTGATTGGATAGCACTGTATTGAGACTGGTGCTTCATGTTTAGCATGACTTTTTAAAAAGATAACATGCTGAAAAAACATACACCTAAATGTCAGCTTAAAAATCATACCATTAGCCAGGCGGTGGTGGCGCACGCCTTTAATCCCAGCACTCGGGAGGCAGAGGCAGATGGATCTCTGTGAGTTTGAGACCAGCCTGGTCTACAAGAGCTAGTGCCAGGACAGGCTCCAAAGCCACAGAGAAACCCTGTCTCGAAAAACCAAAAAAAAAAAAAAAAAAAAAATCATACCATTATCACAGTGTTTGGTAACTTGCTTTGTTTGAATGACATAACAAAAGACGTTAAGTAAAGTAACTTAAAAAACAAACTCCCTACCTCCCACCCTCCACCTCCCACCCCCCAACCCCCACACAGCTCTAGAGTGTTGGAAACCCAAGGTTCATTGCCATAAAGCAATGAAGGTATTTGATGTAGTGAACTTTGAGGGCTCTCTTCCTGGCTTCTTACTGTTTCCTCACTCAGTTAAAGAAGATAGGAGGTGGGGCAGGATACTTCAGTTTCCTCCAAGAAGGCCATGGACCTTTCAGATGAAGACCCCACCCTTATGATCTCATTTAAATGTAATTGACTCCAAAGACCATCCAAAAAGTCCTACCATGGATTGTATTACGTCTATAATTCAAATCTAAATTTTGGAGTTTCTTTTGAAATCAGATTTTATGAACCACAAAAGAAAACCAGTGTTACTTTATTTGGTTAGATTTCTCTTTTTTCTTTTTGTTACAAATGCCATTACCTAATTTGATCTTCTCTTTTATTCCCCAGTTTGCTTCCCCAGACATTTGCTATTTTAAAAAATAACAAATATTTGAACATTAGCTCTTTGAGAATATTCAAAGAGTCTATTTCAAGAACTGATAAAAACTCTAAATAAAGATTTCAAAAAGGTTTTTACCCTCAACACCATGATGGTTGGTATAACAGTGTAACTTTTAAAGTGACTACTTTGCAGCACATGTTAAAATTTGGGATGTAGATTAAATGCATCAAATTCTTTTGTACATTGTTCATTATATAACATGTCCAATGCTTACATACAGTTTTAATATCACGATAGGACATTAGTTTCTTTTGAACAATATCAGAACCAAAATATTTTTATTGTAAATGTTTCAAGAATGCATTTAATATAAGCCCATTGGGAAAAAAAAGTTACACATAAACTGTTTTACAGATATCCAGTGCCTGAGAACACCTTAAGGCTCAGATATGACTGTTTTCCCTATGTTCCCAACAGAAATAAATATGTAATTCTCTTCTTGTGGATGGGTATCATCATACATTATTAACGTTACACTGATGACATTAAAGAGAAAATTAAGGACAGGTATAGTTAAAGGTAGGGCACTTAACATGCAGAAAGCCCTGGATTAGATTCCTAGCACTATAGGAAAAACAGTAAAAAGAAACTGAGTAGCTATTCTGAGTAGTTCCTGCCTATATTCTACACTTACGCAAAGAATCCCAAACTGCCTAAATGGTTGGCAAGGACATTTTGATTTTAGTAACGGGCTAGGGAGGAGTGCTTGTTGTATTGACCTTTCTTTCTCTCCTCCTCAATTTTTAACTGCTTTAGCTATTTTCCTGGACAATGCGAATGGATATATTGCCCAGGAGATGCCATATCTTCAGTTGCTGCTTCTGAGAAGAGTACAGGAAAAATTTTCATTTATGATGGTCGAGGAGATAATCAGCCACTTCATATTTTTGACAAACTTCATGTATCGCCTCTTACTCAAATAAGACTAAACCCAGTTTATAAAGCAGTAGTATCTTCAGACAAATCTGGAATGATCGAGTACTGGACTGGACCTCCTCATGAATACAAATTCCCTAAAAATGTGAACTGGGAGTATAAAACTGACACAGATTTATATGAATTTGCCAAGTGTAAGGCTTATCCAACCAGCATATGCTTTTCACCTGATGGAAAGAAAATAGCAACCATTGGATCAGATAGAAAAGTTAGAATTTTTAGGTTTTTAACCGGAAAACTCATGAGAGTCTTTGATGAATCATTAAGTGTAAGTGCCATTGAATCAGATTTTACTTTTCTAATAAATTTTATGTGTTTGCTATTTCATAAAGATATTTTTCTATCTAGACATGTGATGATTATTTTCTCTTTTGTTTGTACTCTTGGGTTGATGCTCTTCCTACATTATGTGATATTTCTTCATTGCTGTCCTAACATGTGTTGAGGTGACAGCACTGATATGACAAAAGGGAGTGACAAGATGAGTAAGGCTGTGACGAAAGTTGAGATTCAGAATGAGAAGTTGAAGGAAGAAAGATGCCAAACACAAAACAAGTATAAGTATATGAATAGAAAGTAGTAATAGCTGAAATCCCACATTCCACAGGGGTGTTTGGGTTTTTTCTGTAGTTGGGGAAAGAGCTGTGTGGAGTGAGTGAAAACTTTAGTGACTTAGAACTATTGAGCTTGCGATGGTGGCGCACGCCTTTAATCCCAGCACTGGGGAGGCAGAGACAGGTGGAGCTCTGTGAGTTCAAGACCAGCCTGGTTTACAAGAGCTAGTTCCAGGACAGGCTCCAAAGCCACAGAGAAACCCTGTCTCGAAAAACCAAAAAAAAAAAAAAAAAAAACAACTATTGAGCTTGGCCTAGGTTAGCAGAATTGAAGGCAAAGTTTTATCTTAGTGTTTGTTCACTGAGAAACATGGGGTCACTGCATGTGTCAGTACAGTCGTGTGTCTCAGAGGCCATGCTTTGAATACCAGGATCGTATAAAAAGGTTCCGCAGAGCTGTTTACCAAATTGGATAAGTATTTATAAAATGCATGTATATGGATAGATGGCTAGCTGTAGAACTTATTTCTTGAAAGATGAGTCTTCAGCAAAAATAATCATGAATCTCCCAGTACTAAAACTTAATCCAGCATTCTAGGCACTTTAGAACACACAAATAAGCGGTAACCAAAGACAAGAAAGCTGTTGTGTAAGATCTTGCATTCATGCCTCAAACGTTAACATACCTCTTGTTTTCATAGTTTTGTATATTTTTCTTCCTTTATCAAGAAAAAATTGAGGGCTGGAGAGATGGCTCAGAGGTTAAGAGCATTGCCTGCTCTTCCAAAGGTCCTGAGTTCAATTCCCAGCAACCACATGGTGGCTCACAACCATCTGTAGTGGGGTCTAGTGCCCTCTTCTGGCCTTCAGGCATACACACAGACAGAACATTGTATACATAATTAATTAATTAATTAATTAATTTAAAAAAGTTGAGATTTTAGTTAAAATAAACATGAAACAAATATATAAATAAATGTGAGTTTAGTTTATTATCATCCATACTAAAAAGTTAGCTTTGAATTCTGCTGTTTTATGTCCTATATGTCTGAAATGATAAATAACAAAATCTTACCTTCTATAAGGCTTATGGAGTGTTAATACTCAGTATTCATGTTAAAACCAGTATCTTGAAAATTGTGGATTAAATATCAAAAGAAACCAAATTTCCAAACCATAAAACGTACCTATAAATACCATTTTTTTTCCAAAACATTTATCAAATACTAATCTTAACTGCTCTTATCACAATAACTTAAACAGTTTCTGATGTCATAATCGATATAGCAAGACAGTAAGAGTCACTCAACAGGGACTGGAGAGATTGCTTGGTGGTCAAGAGTGCTTTGCTGTTCTTGCACAAGACCCATGTCAGACAGCTCACAACTACCTGTGAGCTCTAGCTCCAGATCTTACATTGTCTTCTGGCCCCTGCAGGCACCCACATGCACATGTACATTCACAAAGACACACATTCACAGAAATAAAAGACTTTTTTTTAAAAGATATTCAACAAAACTTAGTATTTGCCATATGTTCTCTTCATAATTCTTATACAGGATTCACGGGCTATGTGCAGCTGCATTGCTTGACATAAATAGCTACTTTTCATGTGACTCACTGACTTTGTTACAGGGGACTGAGGGGATTGGGATTCACATGTCATCTATGCTTGCCTGGAACTTCTTATGTAGCCCTGGCAATTCTGCCTCATCTTCCCAAATGCTAGGACAACAAGTATAGACTAACAGGTCCAGCTACCATGTGACTTGACTCCTTAATGTATCTAGACCAAATAGATACACCAAACTTCTATACAAATTAGATTCCAAAGCACTAATATAAAATTTTTCTCAGTTTTACAAACTGTTATAGAAATGTCAATATTTTGTTTTATTAGATTGAATAAAATAACTTCCACCTGCTTTTTATTTTGTATAATGTACCTACTAAAATTTTAAGTGACTTACACGACTTGCATTATATTTCATTGAAAATGCTACTCTGAGGCTTCTTAAAGGCAGGTTTATTTCTGTAAAGAAAGCATTAGTTATATAAATCAACTGGTTTAGTGTATTTGTTTCTTAAGTTAGAAAATCAAATACTATTATAGTATTGGGATCAAACCCAGGACCTTAAGCACTTAGTCTACAAGTAAGCTTCATACCTTTGAAATACATATTTGTTATTTCTATGTTGTTTTGTTTGAGACTTGATCTCATACTGTGGGCTTGGCTGGCCTGACATTCAGTATGTAGCCCCAGCTGGCCTAGAGTTCACAGTGTTCCTGCCTCAGCCTTCAGACTGCTGGGATTCCAGCTGAGAACAACCATATTGGCCTTGAACTACTATTTGTGACTAAACTTGCCAATGTCTTCTTTAATTTCCTGCTTATAGGGTTTAGAATGCTTCTTAAATTACATGAATATACAAAATCTCAATGATTCTCAATGTGTTTTTTATTCAGTGCTCACTGTTTTAATTTATGTATGTATGTCCAGTATATATGTATGTAGTTATTTTGTTAATGCATAGCTTATTTCCTAGATGTTTACTGAACTGCAGCAGATGAGGCAACAGCTACCAGACATGGAATTTGGCCGACGAATGGCTGTAGAACGTGAGTTGGAAAAGGTGGATGCTGTAAGATTAATTAATATTGTTTTTGATGAAACCGGACACTTCGTGCTATATGGAACAATGCTGGGCATTAAAGTTATAAATATAGAAACAAATCGGTAAGCTTTAACATGATTTATATATATTTTTAATGCAGTTATAGGGAACCATTTCCTCCAACAGGGAAACAATGAGAGTTTTGTTTGTTCCAGAGAAAGTGGAAAGGTCCCAAATGCCTAAACTTAACCAAATGTTTTGACTGGATTTTTCTATGGTCTCTCAGTTGTCTATAATCTTATGTAAAAAGTTTCCACTCATATTTGTAAAAGAAATAGAAAAAAGATATGCATAGTTTCAGGGTTTTGGGTTTTTTGTTTTTTGGGCGTTTTGGGGGATGATTTTTTGGGCTTTTATTTTTTTCTCTTTTTAACAAGTTTCAGTCTGTGTTTTGCTTATTGATTTAAATCAACCAGACTTGTATTAAATGTTACCAAATACTTTAACCACAGAATTCAGCATCACATGCTAGACATAAAGACAGAGCTAAAATGCATAAAACCACAGTAACTCTTTTGTGCAAATAGCACATTTGGTGTTAGTAAAGAATATCTACAGTCAGATACTATGACTGAATATAAAGAAAAGAACTTTGAAAATATTTTGATAAAATTCTTGTGCTATACATTCCTATGTATAAATAGATTTATCTTGTAGTTCTTAGAATATAAAATCATTAAAAACTTGTAAAAGGTTTTAATAACAGGAATAAGTTAAAACCCCATTGGTATCTGGGGTTGCCAGGATACCCTGTGGATTCCAAACTCTAAGGATACTCAGTCAAGTAGCCAGTCCCTCATTTAATATCTATATGCTCTTATATTTTAACTATATATAGATTACTCAATTCCTGGTATAAATGTTATGTAAATACATATTGTACTATATTGTTATAGAATAATGACAAGGGAAAAACAGTATACATGTTCAATATAAACATTTTAAAATATTTTTAGTCTTAAGTTTGGATCTAAGATACAGAGCCTATGAGTACAAGGGAATTAATGAGTGGTTTGTCTTTGCTTTATTTGTGTGAGAAAGAATTGTGTGTGTGTGTGTGTGTGTGTGTGTTTAATGCACACCAGAGGTCAATGTTAACTGTTTTATTACTTTCCACTTTATTTTGAGACAGTGTCTCTTGCTGTACCTGAAGTTTACCTATTGGGCTAGACTGGCTAGCCAGTGAGCTCCTAAGATCTTTCTGCTTCTGCCTCTGCCTTTTCCCTCCCCCAAGCAGGGTTATGGATTTTTGCTTCATGGCTGTGGCTACTAGGGATCTAAACTCAGGTCCTTGTACCCACTAAGCCAGTTTCCCAGCCCTCAGGTGTGTTTTCTCTTTATTAGAATGTTTAAAGCAGTTGTTGGCTCACAACAAAATTAAGAAGGTATTGTTTTCCCATGTATTCTCTACCCTCTTACAGCTCCTGTCAAAGCAGTACATTTGTCAGGTGATAAACATATGTTGATACATCATTATCACCTAATACTTACCCATTGTTTACATTAATGTTGCTGTTAGTACTGTACATTCTGTTTGGACAAATGTAAAGGACCAAGTGACCATCACTATATTATCAGTCAGCATGTTTTCACTTCTTTAAAATCCTGTTTCACCTATCTATTACTCTAACTTCTGGAATGACTACTAACTACTACAAGTAACCTTTCTTTTTTGAAGACAGGGTCTTAAACTGTTGCTCTGTATGGGAATTGAATAGCCAGAGATGGCCTTGTGGTGTGGGAGGTCCTTCTGTCTATGTGTTGCTTTTATTGGTTAATGGATAAAGAAAGTGGCTTGGCCTGATAGGGTAGAAAGAGCTAGGCAGGGAAGACTAAACTGAATGCTGGGAGAAAGGAGGCGGGGTCAGAGAGGACCCATGTATCCCTAGCAGAGAGGGACACCAGAACTTTAAGCCTACCAGGAAGCCACAGCCACATGGTGATACATGGATAGTTGATCTAAGTTTTTTTTTTTACATGTATTTATTTATTGTTGGGGAGAGGGCACATACCATTGTTCATATTCGAAACTCAAGAACCCAGCTTCCTCATTCCTCCATGAGGATCTTGGGGATGGAACTCAAGTTGTCAGGCTCCATATCAAGTGCCATTATAACAGTGAACCTAATCTCTGATCCAGGATAGTTGATTTCTAATTTTCATATGTCAAGCTGTTATGACTGAAATTCTGTTTTTTTCTGCATGTTTGCATAGTGTATATGTATTTGTACAGGTGTGTCTGCACATGTATACAGGTGGAAGTCAGAGGTTAATGTTAAGTAAATTACTGAAGGAAGCCAGAGCTTACCGATTTGCCTAGTTTAGCTAGTCATTTTGTCCTGTGGATCCTATCAAAAGCACTGGGACTATGGTTGGTCTACCTGGTTTTTATGTAGGTACTGAAGTTCCAATTCCAGTCCTCAGGTGTTCAAATCAATTTATTCACTAAACTGTCTTCTCAGCCTAATTCTGACAATTGTATTATATTAAATATTTTATTTTTCCAGGTGTGTGCGGATCTTAGGCAAGCAAGAAAATATTAGAGTGATGCAACTGGCTTTGTTTCAGGGAATAGCAAAAAAGCACCGAGCTGCAACAACTATAGAAATGAAAGCCTCTGAAAACCCCGTTCTTCAGAATGTTCAAGCTGACCCAACAATAGTCTGTACATCTTTCAAAAAGAATCGATTTTATATGGTATGTGATAGTCTAAGTGATGGCAATTACATTCGTGTTTTTTCAGCCTTGCTGGGAGTTTTTCTTGAAACATGTTGGCAAATTTTCCAAACACCTAAAACATCAACCTACAACAATATTGTAGAATTTTAAACTAAGAATTGATATTTAAGTATTTCTGTATTCTTTCCCATTATGTTTAAAATTTTTCTCATTTTGCTTCTATCACTATTTGTGCTAAGGCAATAGGAAACTAATAATTATGTTCATAATTGTGTTTACAACAGTTTTTACTGTGGGTTTTTAATATTTTTTTGTTTTTCAACTTTTCACTTGAACATAATATATTTCCCAGAACGCACACAATTTCTTTCTCTAAATGTATTTCCTTGACTTTTTGTTCACTGTAACAGTGCTATATTGAAGCAATATATTCTGAAGAATCTTCTCCTCCCATGGAGAACTAAAGTGCCTCTTGTTGGGGTTGTTCCTCAATGATTATTTCCTACCTAGCACTGGAAGAGGAATACTGAGAATGGGCTAAAATCAATCTTTGAAGCTATTTATGAATAGTAATATTACCCAGACAAAGACCTCTACTCTGACACATTGTATCCTTTACAACTGCAAACAGCTTCCTAAGGTCTAAGTAAGATTCCTTCATTGTCTATAACTGACTTTTATTTCTTTTGTGGCTTTAGCCTTCTTCCTTTTTATTTACTACACTGACAAGATCAAATTTATTCTATTATTTTTTAACTTTTTATTTATTATTTCTTCCACTCACATGTTTTCTTCCAACTTCTACTTCAGGGCTGAGCTTGAAATCTGTTCACATCAATACTGAGTTATATGCACCTGCTAATGGTCTGCCTGTGCTTCTCTCGTCATATGCAATGTACTTTGGGAGTATAAATTAATAATGTGTAATCTCGGGGAAGAGGTGTATCTTTGACACTGCTCTCTTCCTCCAGATGACTTAAAATCAATAAATATGGAGTGCTGTAGCTTCACACTCATCCACTGATGTCTATACAAATTGTAAACATTTGTGATGGGTTCAAGTTAACACATTTGATAAATTTAAGAAATAGCAATTTCCATACCTATCCCAAACAAGCTTTTTTTTTATTTAATATTTTTTTTATTTATTTATTATGTATACAATATTCTGTCTCTGTGTATGCCTGCAGGCCATAAGAGGGCACCAGACCCCATGACAGATGGTTGTGAGCCACCACGTGGTTGCTGGGAATTGAACTCAGGACCTTTGGAAGAGCAGGCAATGCTCTTAACCTCTGAGCCATCTCTCCAGCCCCCAAACAAGCTTTTAACCTAACATACATAAATTCTTTAGTGTGAGAATTTTTTCTTACACCCTCTGACTCATAGCTAAAAACTCATTAATTTATACTAAATAAAAATAGCTGATCATGTTTTTATCTATAAAGTTAAAATTATCAGAAACAAATTCTTGACATATAATAAACTCCAATCATTTGCTGTGGCAGTTCATGTCTTTAATCCCAGAACTCAGGAGACAGAGGCAGGTGGATGTTTGTATGTAAATGCATAAATATATAGGTTGCTCAGTCCTTTTAGTGTTACTTGCACATATATGATTTCAGAGCTAACTGATATTGGATAAGCAATTAAAGGATTCATCCCTGAGGAAAACTATTTCTCTTGCTCTCAATATTCCTTAGATGCCTGCAGTTCTTTAAGGTGGGGACCATAGACTTTACCATTCTATGTCAGCATGTCTATTGGTATCAAACTTATTTAGGTCTTGTTTAGGTACCCATACTCTCAAGGGATCATGAGTGACATTTCCCTATCATTTCTGGGAAACACAGTCTTATAGATTTCTTGGTCCTTTGGGTCTTAAAATCTTTGTGCCCTCTGCCCCCCCTCTTCCATGATGTTCCCGGAGCCTTACAGGAATTGTGTTATAGATGTATCCAAGGTGTTATGAATAATTGCTCAAATCTAATACTAGAAAATTTTGTTACTCTAAAATTAGAAAATCCCCTTATTCATTACCCTAAAAGCCTGCCTATCTTCAACCTTGGCAACCGTTCAAATCTTTGGTTTCTGTAGGCTACCCTGTACTGGAAGTTACACATTGAAAGCAGCCATGAAGGATGTGGTTGGAACTGGACACTACATAATCAGTTGCTATCTGCATTTTGACTAGTTGTGTGTTCTGTAATGGTTTCCATCTGTTGCAAAGAGAAGATTCTTTGATAAAGAATGACAGCTACACTTATTTGTAGATATAAGGATAGGTATTTAGAGTGCAATTCGAAATTACGCTGATTTAGTGAAGAGATGGTATATGGTTCTCCTGTAAGATCCATGACCTCCTATCCCAAAAGTTGTGTTTCTAGTACCAGAATTAGACAGTTGTTGGTTACCTCCAAGATATGAGTGCCACTATTATACCCTTGGGGTATTGTAGATCCTAAGTGTCATAGCTGGGTAGGACTATTGTTACTTCCCTGCTTCAGATTCTATGAAAGCTCATCCTTAGGGTAGAGGCTTTCAGGTCAGACCCAGCTCAGATCCTCAGTCCTGTGTCCAACATGCATGAAGCCTTCACCAGTAGGAACCTACCTTCAACCTTTGGGAGGCAACCATCAGCTATGGCAGTAGCATATATTGTTTTGATGGTTTCTTGAACTCAAATGACCAAGAACTCAAAAGGGAGTTCCTCACATCTGATACTGGATTTTTTTTGTTAGTTTTATGATTATTAAAGGGTAGCATTGTCTACCCAAATGGCATAACTTCTTTTAACCTCTCTTTGTATATACATATACATGTATGTATTATATATAATTTTTAGGTGAATAAAAAAATGGTCCCTTATTGCCTCCTCACACATCCTAATGGTTATTTTCTCCCTCACCTTTGGTATTGACCTCTTTTCCTCTCCCCAGGATAAAGCTACCTTCCCTGTTTTTCACCTTTTCCTCCTTTATATAACCAGTATCCTACCATTCTCTCTAGCCCATAGCTAGACATAGTTTGACAGTCCTAGTTTCTGAGGTTAATCCAGGTCTATTGTAAATTCTTACTTTCCTTTAAAAGTAAATTTTATTTATAAATTTTTACCAGATAAGTTTTTAATTCAACCATTCACATTTTCTTTATTGAGTTTACCAAAAGAGAACCAGAAGATACAAAAAGTGCAGATTCTGACCGAGATGTTTTTAATGAGAAGCCTTCTAAAGAAGAAGTCATGGCAGCTACTCAAGCTGAAGGACCAAAACGAGTTTCAGATAGTGCCATTGTCCACACAAGCATGGGAGACATTCACATCAAACTTTTTCCTCTTGAGTACGTACACAAATGCCAATGTCAATGTGTGTATTTGGACTGCAACTTAAAATTGTTACTTTAATTGATTTTGAATAAGTTTGGATAAAACATCTACTCCTTAGTTTTCTGATATATAAGTTCTTCTATCGATTTTAATGTAGTCCTATTATGAGAACAAAATACACTGACTATGAAAGTGCTGCCAGTGATAGGACAGTATCCTAACACGCATAAACTTCTTGTTCAGTCTCCAGTACCATACAAAAAGTATGCTGGAGGTAAACTGTAAAGATGCACAAATGTTACCAGTGATTGCACATCCAAATAGGTCCTAGGGGCTTTTTTATAGACAACTCTCCTCCCAAAGCAAATCCTTTAGGTAAAGGTAGTAATTTTTGTCTTCTGGAATTTGTTAGTCACCTATTACAATTTTAAAAGTGAATTCTAATGAAAATCATAAGGACTTTAAATTCTTTTTACAGTTGAAAAATATCCAGAATAGTTAAAATATTTATAAAATAGATTATTAATGCCTTGATCTAAAAGAGATGATACTTTTATAATGTTTTCATTCAAAAGTATTTATTTTGGATATAACAACTTGCTACCAAGCAAAGAACTAGACAGTTACAGATTCTTACAGTCCTTTTTCAACCACTTGGTGCATGTGCCTCTTTGAATCTGCTGCATGAGTACTTGAGGCCAAGATTCTCCTAATTCCTCCTTCTATTCTCAGCTCTCAGAGGTATTTTGAAGAATAATTTTATGAAATTAGAAACAACTAAAAAAAATCATATTCCTTTTTTGTTTTTCGAAGCAGTGCTTCTTTCTTTGTGTAGCCCTGGCTGTCCCGGAACTAGCTTTGTAGGCCAGATTGATCTCAAGCTCACAGAGATCCACCTGCCTCTGCCTCCTGAGTGCTGTGATTAAAGGCGTGCATCACTACTGCCTAGCTAAAAATTTCATATTCTTATTGATTGTCACTTAAAGTTGAATAAATTCAGAAGATGCTATTTATGCATGTGTGCATGTATCGTGTGTGTGTGTGAGAGAGAGAGAGAGAGAGAGAGAGAGAATGAATAGTCCTGGCTCTACTGGTCACTTTGTAGACCAGGCTGGCCTCAAACTCACTAAGATCCACCTGTTTCTGCCTTCTGAGTATTGGAATTAAAAGCATGTGCCACCACCACCCAACTTTATGTATGTAATTTAAGGTGCTGCTGTCTTTGGGTTTTTAAACTGCTAAATAGCTCTAAAGTACCACTATCTTCAAATTCAAACAAATACTAATTAGTAAGCATGTAATGAAAGAAGAACACTACTGCTTACCTGCCCTTCCCACTGTCATTTCTCAATGAGATCACATTATGACAAAGACTGCACTTCTGGCATGTTTAGAACTTGAGAACATTAGAAAATGGCTATTCAAACATTATCTTAAAATACTCTGAATAATTTCATATTTTTTATACAATAGGTGTCCCAAGACAGTGGAAAACTTTTGTGTTCACAGCAGAAATGGTTATTACAATGGGCACACATTTCACCGTATCATTAAGGTAAGTTATACAAATTTGGTGTGATTTAAAGAAAAGTATGCTCCTGTATAACAAGAGTTCAAATCCTCTTGAACACATACACTTTACTACAAGGTAAGACAGCACTGGGTGGTCATGAATGTTTAGTCAGGGAAAAGGCATGACTCCCTTTTTAGAAACAATACTCCAGTACTTTGTCAGCAGCTAAAGAAAGGGTAAAAGAATGCACCAAGGGATGTATATTAGTCTAGTGGCTAGATAAGGCAGAGGTCTGGGAAATACAAGAGCTGTAATGAGATGCACCTCTAAGACTCTGAGGAGGAGTGAGCTTGGTCCCAGAATTAATTAATTTATTTATTTATTCATTTTGTGCAGCTTAAGGAAAGGAAAGAGGAACAGATGATGATTATATAAGACACAAGACACTATGTAAATCCTAAAACATTCTGTGGACTATCAGGAAAAATAATGCAATATAAGACATTTGCATTTTTATTTCAGTCATTGAATAAGTAGTGACTCAGCAATGAAATCTAACATCCAAACTTAGTATGGGGTTAATGTAACCATGATATAATTTGAGGAAGTTGACAGTTTTACTGAATACAAAGCACTCTTAACAGAGAGATACAAAACTGCACACACACACACACAGATTACATATAAAAAAGTCAAGGTATTAATTTTATATTTTCTGTTAACAGGGCTTCATGATTCAGACAGGAGATCCAACAGGTACTGGTATGGGAGGAGAAAGCATATGGGGAGGAGAGTTTGAAGATGAATTTCACTCAACATTACGACATGACAGACCGTACACACTAAGCATGGCCAATGCTGGATCAAATACTAATGGATCCCAGTTTTTTATAACAGTAGTACCGACGGTGAGTATTTTATCTATAAATGATAAGTTCATGGTTAATAATCTGAGAATATGAATATAGTAGGGAATCTGCATTATTCTGTTCTCTGTACTATTAAATCTTTCCAGTTAGAAAATAGAAAATTATTTATACATGAAAATTTAAACAATAATAAATGAGTTTAGAAAACACTATTTCTGTCTAGTAGGAAATATAATTTCTATGTTAAGGATACTAGAGTTTCAGTCTCTGTTCTGCCACCACTAATTTTATGTACCCTAAAGCAAATTGTTTCACCTTTCTTGGCCAATTTCCTCATCCTTTGAATTTTTATTACTTCCATATAAACTAGGGATAACTTTTAAAAGCTGAATACTCATTATTAAGAAAGCATTAAACTTCATTTTAAATATATAATAAAATTAAGTAAAATTTAAATTTTGCTTAATTATCATAAATTTGATTTAATAAATTTGTTAAATTTACCAAATTTTTCTGGTTTTGTTTTTCCAATACAGCCCTGGCTTGATAATAAGCACACTGTGTTTGGACGAGTGACTAAAGGAATGGAGGTTGTGCAGAGGATTTCCAATGTTAAAGTCAATCCAAAAACAGATAAGCCTTATGAGGATGTCAGCATCATCAATATCACTGTCAAATAAAAGGGACGTAACACGAGACTGTTTCACATTTGGAAATTTAATACTTGATGAATATGGAAATCGTGTTTCAAAAGATAAAACTGTATTTTTGTATTTTTAGTTAAAGATCATTTTTAAAAACTGCCTTTGGTTTTTCTTGGACTAGTTCTGATATTAAGGGTGACAACTAAATTTAGGCAAATAACATTTCTTATAGGCAAGTACTCTTCTGATTCAAATTCAGTATTAAATAATGGATTGGTATATATTTCCTCAATTTCAAAAACATGCTCTTATAGGTTTGGTGATCCTTAAAGAAAAAGATCAAAAGACATTATATTTATTCCTTATAAAATATCCTTTAAATTGAAGTATCAAATAAATGACCACTTGAATTTTTATTTTTAATGAATGTTCACTGTTTTCATTTGCTTTTCCTAATGTAGCTAAGTAATTTTTTTTCTAATGAGTTAGATTTTAATTCAGTAACCATCAAGAATAAAAGTAAAATTTAGTATCCTACAATAGAATCTATTAATAGGTGTGGTGGGATGTGTCTGTCATTCCACCTAGCACATGTGATATGAAGGTAAAGGCCAGCCTAGACTACATAATGCCTGGAAACAAATTCTAACAGTACAAGTCTAAAGTCTTTATAGATAATATTCTTCAACTGCCTTTAACTGCTAACAACAGATTCTGTCTTCTAGACAGCCTCTTCAGAAACTTAAAAAAGGAACATCTCAGTAGAGCTGCTTCAGGAGCCCTGTTCCTGCCACTGATCAATAGCATCATTTCATTTGGTATGAAAATGCAACCTGCAAGATGAAAAAGTATGTCTAATTGTGCCTTCAAACTGTGAAGCAAGGTGGTGGTGGTGGTGGTGGTGCAGGCCTCTAATAATCTCAGCACTTAGGAGGCAGTGGCAGGCAATCTCTGTGAGTTCCAGGCCAACCTGGTCTAACGGAGGGAGTTACAGGACAGCCAGTGCTTCACAGAGAAATTCTGCCTCAACTACCCCTACCCCTTCCAAAAAAGTGAAACAAAAAGATAAATTTTGGTCAGGCAGTGGTGGCGCACACCTTTGATCCCAGTGCTCAGGAGGCAGAGGCAGGCACATCTCTTGAGTAGCATAGTCTACATAGCCAGCATAGTCTACAGATGAGTTCCAGGACAGAGGAGGATACCCAGATACACTGTCTTGTAACCCTCCTCCCCCAAAAAGAATTTTAAAAAGAATTTGAGCTTACTCCATTAAGGATTTTGTTACATTTACTTACAAGTATTACACTCATCCTCAAAGTAGAATTTTGGTAATACTGCTATCAAGTGGTAATAATGCCTCATTCCTCAAACATTCAAGTATTTTGCTTTAATTAAAGAATCATAATATGCAACCAATGAATTGGTTTCATATCATTTTATTTGAAATAGGGTCTCATGTATCTCAGTCTAGTCTCAAAGTCTCTATGTAGTTAGTGATCCCTCCCAAGTGCTAGGATCACAGACACATACCATAATGCCCAGTTTATGCAGTACTTATGGAGCTGAACCCAGGGCCTTATGCATATTACCATGTATTCTACAAACTGAGCCACACTGCTGCCCTTGGATTATTATTAATGCACAATCTCACATTTAGTCTGATTTCTCTTTTGGAAGAATACATGTGCACATCAGTCTTCCCTGGTACCAATTTGTAAAATGAGGACTTTTCCAATGTTATATAAGCATTAAATAAATACTATGTTTTTAAGATTTAGGCAAGCTTTTCAAACCCATCCTCTGCTCCTTTCTTGGTGGTGATGGGGATGGAATCTCAGGTTTTGTTAAAGTCAATCCAAAAACAGATAAGCTGAGCTGCATCCTCAAGCTCACCAGACCACTGTAATGACCATTATGTGGCTATGTAAATGGTTCCTGGGAAATACAACTAAATTTAATCTAAAAGCTTTCACTTTTGTTTACTGCAAAAATTTAGCTTTCCCTCCAAAAGTTTCTTGTACCTTTTGTTTAAATGTGACCTGAATATAGAATAACATCTCTAAACCTTTGAATTAGCAAATAAATCCTATCTCAAATGTGATAGGTTAAGCCATTCTCCACTCCTTTTTGTTTCTGTTTCTTTTAGGCATAGCATAAATAATGAAGTTCTTCTTTTTTGCAGTGCTAGGGATTAAACACAGGATTTCATACATGCTAGGCAAATGCTTCTATTATTGAGCTATGCCCAGTCCTAATAAAAGACTTCTTAAGAAATTTACTAGCAATGATGCTAGATGCATAATTTATTAAGCAGTTTTTGTAATAACAACTCCTAATAATTTAAACATTTTATTGCTTTCTATACTGATCATATACGTAAGTACAAATAATGTCTTCTGTTGGCTATAAATCATTCCTGAATTACAGACCAAGGGCTATATACTTAACATACCTGCTGTATATAAGTAATAGAGTAATAACTAAATGTAATATAGAATTTCAGACATAAGGCAAATCCCAGTACATTGTAGTTAAAACATATGCTGATTTTTAAAATCTGACACTTCCCAGAGGAAACTAGTACACCCTTAACAAAATGATTAGCCAAACGATGTACGTATGCACAGTAGCAGGAGCCAGCCCAAGAAAAGAACCACACATAAACACTGTAATATATCTATATTACAATCATATTTAAGCACAATTTTAAAATTATATTTGGTTATATTTTAAGAATAGGAATTACAAAGTTTAACAAAATTAGTGAAATAATAAACTTCATAATTTATAAGAAAATCAAGTTCACTTAGTGTCAGCACATTTTCAGTTACTACAGAAAACAGTTCAAGGTCTCACAAGCAATGCAACATTTTTATTTTTCACAGTTACTAAAATCAAATATTAAATAATTTAGTTACAAAGTATTACGTATACACACAACTACTTGTAACAGCATGACCAGTTACTTTCTTGAAAAACCAAGGACAAAATATTATACTTTTATTTACATATTGCCCGTAATATGTGATGGGCTTTTTCTAATTAAAAAAAGGTACATTTGAAAAAAAATTGAACCAGAACAGCGCCACCTAAAAGTTACATCCTACTGTCAGACATCACTGTCTTTGTAACAACTGCAGTACAATTTAAGAATCAACTTCATCCTAAAGTAAGAGCATTAAAAACAAGAAATCTAGCTATTTAAAGAAATCATGCTTCCATAATAAGAGTATCCTTTACAAAAAAGAAACCATAAAGAACGCAAAATTTAACTTTTATTCACAACACTGCCATACTAAATGTAAACTTTTCAATTGTTTCTTTTCCTATAGATACGTTCTTCCTCTTCACTGAGACCTTGTCCTGAAGAGCCTTGATCCTTTTTATTGTTGCATGAATGTACTTAACTTGGGAGCCATTTAAAGAAATTAGCACTCCCAATGTTTGAATACCTTTCCCTAAGGTATAGGTAGTTTTCTATTTAGGTTGCTATATGTTCATGTAAAAGTGACTGGCTTTTCATGTGATTTATAACACTTGACCAACAAAGGAAGCAATATCACTTAGTAATGTGTTTAACAACTAAAGGACCAACTCTGACCTAGGAAGTAAACCTAGGACCATTCCTGGAAATGGTTCTTGTTAGTAAAGATCAAACAATTTTCAGTTTTACTGGTTTTGGTTTAGTCTAATGATCAGGTTCACTTAGATACTATCTCATTCTCACTGTATTATGCAAAATGCTTTAGGAGAGCTGATAAAACTAGAAAATACTGATTTTTCTATAGTTTATACTCCCCAGCATTAATGATACTGCTATACTGAATGTGAAAGTAAAGCAATCCTATTCCCCCAATACAGCTTCAGTTCTAGTACACAACTGCCCTGTCTACTGCCAAAACTGAATAAAAGGTGGGGTTAAGGAAGCCATACTTTCCTAGGTTCTGTTAGGCACTCCACTGGCTGGTTTTGTTGTTGTTGTTGTTGTTGTTGTTGTGTTTTGTTTTTTCACTGAAATAAAGAACCTTCACTTACTTAATCCTTTGTGACTACTCCTCCCCAATATACAGGTCATATATAAACTAAAAATCTCCAGTACCTAATGTGCCCTTTAAAAGTCTATATCCAAGAGATTTCTATTTAACCAATGTAATATGGTCATTTAAAATTGTCACAGAATAATTTATAAAAGCAATGACATACTTAGTTCTCAGTCTTATACACACATCCTACATTAACTATCATATTTGAGATGTAGAATTTCTTAGGATACATTACATGCAGAGTAACTTTGAACCATAAGCTTGAAACAACTGCTGCATTAGAATCAAGCAACATCCAACACTCCAGCAGCCACAAGTTGCCGGGACAGCCAGTCCAACCCTTCGTAGAGCCCCATACCACTTCGAGCATCACAACCCTGAATATACCAGCTCCTACCACAGCATAGTTTATGAAGACTGAGAAGTTCAGTGATTTCTTCTACTGATAATGCTCCAGCAACATCCTAAAATACATAAAATATAATTTTTATCAGTCCTTCCAAGTGATCATTTTTTTCTCTTATGTTTATATAGAAATATGCTGATAACATATTTTTCAAACACATGTTTGATTTATTTATTTATTTATTTTTAGGAAAGGTTTCTCTGTGTAGTCTTGGCTTTCTTGGAACTCACTCTGTAAACCAGGCTAGCCTAAAATTCAGAGGTCCATTTACCTCTGCCTGACTGTTGGGATTAAAGGTGTGTGTGCTATCACTGCCTAGAAGCTAATACCATTCAAATTGAATCCTAAACAAAAACTGTATTTATTTTCAGCAATTATTTTGAGATTAATTGAACTTAAGAGTTTTGGTTAGAACTGTCTATATATATTAAGGATAATATAATGAAATCAATCACAGCTATGCCTCCTATCTGAAAGACCTAGGTCACCATAAGGCATCAGCCATCTGGCCCCGTCTCACCCAAAAAGGAAAGTACATATATAACAAAAATGGTTTATGCAGAAACTATAATATAAATGTATTATTTTCCATCCTTGATCCTT